ATTGTAAAAATATAGTTCCAACTGGGGACTCTGCTTCTCTGTGGGATATGGTAAACAATCGTTCGCCGAATTATGAACCGCCCGAGGCGTGTCGGCGACTTTGGAAAGAATTCGGCACCAATACTGAAGCTGGCAGATACCTTCGCGCGTTGTACGGTAAGCAAGCCTTCACTGAGCAATGTATTCACTGTGAGTTATTGAAAGGTTCTGCAGACCAGCAAAATGCTCATCATTCGATCAAGTACCCCCCTGTTAAAACAATGCAGAGGAAAGCATCACAGGTCTCGGCCGCGCCAAAGCCGAAAGTGTGACCGCGAGTTCAGCTTGAGTGTGAAGCTGTGCGGATCCTCAGCCGCGGGTTCAAGTTCCTCGTGTTGGTGGGCGAGGATCGAAGGGAACGTCAGAGGAGCTTCCATCGAGAAGAGGCGTGAAAAGCCAGAAAAGCATCGAAGAGGAAATAAAGAAGTCGAGGTTGGCGGCAACCTCCACAAAAGTGACCATCAATAGGCGTAGGCCTGTTGATATCATACTCCCTCCTGGCCGCAATGTTGAGGCCGAGAAAGATCGTCTTGCTGAGCTTAACCAGTTTGCAGGTGGGCCTCTAGGCTTGCCGAAAGTATCCCTGGTAGAAGCTGCGAGGGCCAGAGCTGGTAGGCCGTGACTCATCGTCTATGTGTTAAGTATTGGCTCTGATTATACAGGAGGTGAGATGAAGAACAACGGTGCCAAGACAGAGCCAGATCGCATGGTGAGATTTCATGACTGCTCGCTTCCTCAGCGTAGTGACTCCGGCACAAAGCCTCGCTATCGTATAGTGACCATCCAGTGTTGTTGCTCAGCATCATCAGAGCTCCTCCGGGATTTCTTATTGAAATACGATTGAATATACTTTCTGGGGCGAGCCGGGAGACATGGGGGTTGTAAACGATCCCTGCATAGAGTCTTTCGGTCACTTGCTGGAATGTGGTGGAACAAGTCGCTAAATTACCTTCGCGCAAATATGTCGTCGGAAGAGGAAGAGAAAACAACACTGCATCGATGCCGGGTTAGTTCAACGAACTGAAGAAAGAGATGAAGGCGAGAGAAGAGCGATTATTGCAACTATCGGGTACAGTTGAAGTTGAATGCAAGAGACCAGCCCCTCCTGCGGGAACTCAAGCTGCCCGCAATCGACTCAAAAGGATAACAGGTAACATTGTGTCGACCGAACTCTCCCTTGTTTATATTCATTTATATATCGCTTATATTGTATCTCCCTTGTCTAACACCACTCTGCAATCTATGTTCTACTTCTGACTGGATAGGTTTCTTTCACGCCTCACTGCCCTCTTCTCTTGTTGCAGTAGTTATGTGAGGAATAAGCCCATAATTTCGTAAACGCAGTATTGCTGGTCCATTGGTATGTTAGGATCTGGAAACGCTCGGTGGTATAACTCTCGGTGATGCTAGTTTGCGATAGTTGCGCCCATTCTCTGTGATTCTGTCTATCCTCAGCTCAGAGGAACGAGCTCCTTCAGCTCGAACATGACCTGCAGCGCCACGCGGAAGACCTCAACACTTTGTCTCAAGCCAAGCAAGCTGTTCGACAATCATGATGTCCACGTGTGTGTAGAGGGACAGAGTCCCTGGGACAGCAGTACACAAAGACTTACAAGACTTGAGCGTACGTCTCCCATGACGACGGAACTTTACCGGATACTCGGGGAAGAGACGCATTAGCCAGTCTAAAATCACAAACCAGTCTACGGTTAGGGGAGCTGGGGAGCCTCAAACCACCAACAGTGTAAAATGCTCATTCATGGTGTTGGAAACATTTGTGTTGTAAGTAGTGGAGCGCAACTATCGATCGTACTTCAATGAGAGCTTGTTTCAATGTTGAGTAATTTGATCACCTGTTTCATGTTGAAGTTGAGGTTCATACTACGGAACTCAACGACGGTCGTTGATTATGGAACTCATGGAGCTGCTACTGCTATACGATTAGTTCACGGAGAAGCATGAAAGTATATCTTTAGCCACTCAGGTTTTCACAAGTAGAACATCGACCGCCTTCGTATATCATGGCAACTGAGCTTCTTTCGCTTAACAACGGTTCTGGCCATTGTGTGGGTGTTATCCCTCTTTTTTACACCTATAGTAAGCGTACCTGCTAGCGTGAGCTATACGGAGGGTCGCCCGAAGTGTACTATTCCTAAGATCGGTCTCTAGGTTGGTCGCAACACCTTTTGAAGGCCTATTTCGCGTTTATGTATGCCACAATCAAGGACGAAGAATGGATGAGCATAGTCGACATTAACTAGGGACCAG